AAGTCATCGACTTAGTGAGGCATAAATATAATAACAATGAAATATAATGATAATGTCATAATGATATGAAATGTAATGAAATCATATATTTAATCCATGCAAATTGCATAACCATGTATCTTACCCATAATCTGATCAAATTATCATCATGAATTCGTATTAATAAGTTCCCTAGCCCATGATAGAATACTGAGAACCTGAGGTATGTGAGTAATGTGAGGTTGTGCATTATGTTGTCACCACATCTCATATAAATTCCCACTAGGGGCACGTAGAATTTGTCCCGAAGGACCACGTAGAAATGCACCGAAGTGACATATAAGATGTCCATAAAGACAACGTAGAAATTCCTTAAGAATCATATACATATGCCAAAGATCAAGTATGTGTCTCAAAAAACCTCACACATGTTCCAAAGAATACATATATGTCCCGAAGGACCGCGTAAACCCTCTACTCTTGGCATGCCAACTATACCTATAGTTCTCATCTACATAACATGGGCTTATCACAATTCACATAGTATATCTCATAGACATATAATTTTCCTTACCTTTATCACATGGCTCATATAACTTTTCATGCATATTCATTTAAAACATGTCACATAATGCATATGGTATGAACTCATATCATGTTTCATAATATGAAATGAATCATGTATCAAAGTATTAAATCTAGACTTATCACAAGTCTAGAACTGAATATACTACTATAATCATGTTATGCATATGCACTCACCTATATCTCTTTGTCTTTCCTCCGATCGATCCTACTCTTCAATTATTCCGGAACTTGTTTAGGCTCTGTATCTACATAAATATAATTTTCAATACGATTATTAACAGCCTAAACCTTATAACTTGATGTTAATAACTTAAGCTAATTTAATGAAACATAATTCACTTTTTTCCTTTAGGGGGTATCGGTACACTATGGGTGTATCAGTACTTATTGCATTCAATGTTTTTCATTCAAGAGTGTATCGGTACTTGTTGAATGTGTACCGATACACTTTTCCAAGAAATCATATTTTAAGCCCGAAAATTCACTCTTTTCAGCTTCAATACTTCATGTTTCCTCCCCTTTCATATTCTTAACTCACATACATATGCTTAAACCAATTTATACTCATTTATCACATCTTAAACCTCAAAATTCCTTCTTCCATATAGAAATCAATAATCATACCAATTTTCAATATGTTCTAAATCCAATTCTATTACTTTATATCTCTTAATTTAGTTGATGACAAGTAATATCCATCTCAAAGTTCCTTTATTAACTCTTTTTCAGAAATTCACTTTGAAACCTCTTATCTTTAATCTTTCACAACTTCTTCATCTTTTGATTTTAAGACAACTTAAGCTTTCCTTAAGCTTAAGTATCACCTAAGGATCAAAACCTATATTTAAAATCAACAAATAATCAACTAACAGAGAAACTCACCTTTGCTCTGGCTTTCACAAATGAAGGAGGAAAAAGAAGAAAGCTCTGGAGAAATCTCTCATTTCCCTCTTCTCCACATGGTTCCCTTATCTTATAAGGGAAAATAAAAATCTTTCTTGTTAAATGACCATTTTACCCTTTAATTCATTTAATAATTACTAACCATCCTTCATGAAATATTTCCCAATAAATCCTTGAACTATTCAATTATTCTACTTTAATCACCAAATTCTGAAGTTTTATAATTCAATCACTAACCGATATTGAGGATGTTACACTTTGAGTGTCATTGGACGTCGGTCTACTAAGATACAACAACAAACGATCACAATAGTAAGCACAATTGTAGTGATCAGTCAAACACAATCTTGTCTTTCTCTATCACTGGAAAGAATTTTTTTTGAAGGAATTCTCTAAGTGTTTTCGTAATTCAACATTGTTAATTGTAACTTATGTCTAAGAAGTGTGCCTCAACTAGCCTATATATAGGGAGAGGAAACGGATTGAATGGTTAAGATCTTTCGATGAAAGAACGTACCCTTTCTATTAAAGGACTTATTCTTTTGATGAAAGGGCTTAACCTTTTTATGAAATGACTTAATCGTTTCATGAAGAGAATTGTTGAATAGGTATGACTGAATGGATGCAACTTTAAACAAAAAATTAAGTCTATTCACCAGTTGACATGATTTATTATTAATTAGTTATAAATAACATCAATTTACAGTGACGAGTACATATATATATAAATTGGGATGAAATTGAAATGTTGAAAAATTAAAGGGACCAATTTACAATGAAGGATATAGTTTGGGATAAAGATAAAATGTTGAAAATTTTGAGGACAAATTTAAAACTGATATTAGAGTTTAGGATGAAACTAAAATTTAAAAAGTTTGAGGATAAATTTAAAATAATTAAAATTTTCAAATATTTTTTTTCATTATTTTGTAAATAAAACACCTTAAATATTGTTAAGAGAATAAATAAAAAAATTGTATTTAGGTATGATACATATCTTTATTTTGAATAATAAATAAAAAATATTATATTATTTTACATAGATTATGATTGGAGAAGACTAGAAGTTCAATAATATTTGATAAATTGAAGAATATAATTTAAAAATGAAAAAGAAAATGTGCTTAGATTTCATTCGAAATTAAACGAATTAATGAGAGGGATTATGGAATTGAAAAAAAAAGTAGATGCATTAATTGTAAAGGTAAAAATTGAAATTAAAAAAAAATTAAGGGTCTCAATTATATAAAGGTAAAATGTAAAATTGAAAAATTTAATAGTCTTAATTATAAAAGTAAAAAATGTGATTGAAAAAATTAGGGGCATCAGCTATAAAGATAAAAAGTGAGATTAAAACAAACTAGGACCTCAATTTATAAAGGTATAAAGTGAAACTAAAAAAATCATGGAGCTCAATTATAAAAGTATAAAGTGTGATTGAAAAAATCATAAGTCTTAATTATAAAGGTAAAAAGTAAGATTAAAAAAAATAAGATCCAATTATAAAGATAAATTAAAGATCTCAATTATAAAGATAAAAACGAAATTTAAAATAATTAGAAAATCAATTATAAAGATAAAAAAATAAAAAAATTAGGATCTATAAGAATTAGAGTCCCTGAACAATCGCTCATGGTGTTCCCCTATTAGCCCGACTCTGATCTTATACATATACTTTTTTAAAACATTAATAATTAAATGGCATAACTTTATCCTAATTTATTTAAATGCAACAAGGCCCACCTTCCTTGGGGTTTCCAGCCCAGCTAATTTAATAGCCGTTGGAAATCTCCCAAAGTTTTAACGGGGTTTTGGCTAGTATATATAGATGACATAAGAAACGTTGCCACGCTTTCTTCTACCCAACTCCAACCTCTCTGCAAATATGGTTGTTCCCATTACACACTTTCCCTCTCAATTCCCAATTCTTGAAATAGCCGTTCCTCCTTTTCTACTTCAATTACCTAATCTTTTTTTCAATTCCCTTGTATATCGATAGATTTATTTTCCAACAACATAGATTTAGGAAATCTTTCTGTTGAGTTTCAATAGATTCTTGAGCAATGAGTTCTGGTCGTTATGCGGCTTGCAGATATTTGAGGAGAGATGCACGGAAGACAGCATTCTCTGGCCTTATTTTCCGTCAAATAATCCCCAAACAATTGTTTCTGTTCATAGAATCGAATCTACGGTGCCAGTAACGTCACAAAGTTACTTCAGGTATCCATGATATATTATCTCAGTTTTGGGTTTTGGATTCATGTTCAGATTTGTTGTTAGATTTTAACGATTTACAAATGTTTTAGTAACGATTTTCAATTTTATACAAGATTTTTTGTCAATTAATAAGGATGACATTGCTTGATATTTATTTATACTCATTCTACCGTAGAAATCCTATCTTTTTTTCTGTTGCAGAGCACCTGTTTGAATTTATGTCTGAATGATCCTAAAGCTGCTTGCATTGATGAAGCTTCACAATTATACAGACAGTGTATTATAGTGAGGTTTGAAACTGACTATTTTTACTAGATTCTTTAGGCGAATTCTGGTTATGAATCTTGGTAACGCCACCTTTTGTTTAAGTTTTGCCAGTTTGCTCTTGATAAATGTTTGGGGTTCTCTTTTATTTTTATCCTGATGTTAAACATAATTGTTTAAGATTTATGACCAATTGCTCCACCATATAAGACAAAGGAAGATATTTTACTTTTCTACAAGCACAATGATATTGAGAAAGAAAAGCTTTGGTAGGTTGTCTTATGTTGTCTATTTCCCCTTATCTTTTGGACAATAACGTGAAATCTTATTTGGGTTATCTTTCTGATCTATTAGCTATATTGGAGGGCTGTTTCAGATACTTGTACTTGTTATATTGATAATTGAAGCTAATGTATAATTTGTACCCTGTTTTACAGTAGTTTTGTGGGTTTGACTGTGACATGGTATTATTTGCCATCTGATTAATTTCCTAACCTTTTTCTCTACTTTTGACATTTTTATGAGGCATAATGCTTTGGTTCTGCTTTAATTTCCAGGAAATTAAGTTTGAGCCCAATGTTATGTGTGAACCAATTGACAAGAAAATCACCTTTGAAGCTATAATGCAGGTTAGTCCCTCTAAAGGCGGTGAAGTAGCAGGGGTTAGTAAACAAGCTAGTTCCAGTAATGTCATAGAATCTATGGTGCCAGTAACGTCACATAATTACTTCAGGTATCCATTATATATACATATATATATTATCTCAGTTTTGGGTTTTGGATTTATGTTCAGATTTGTTGTTAGATTTTAACTATTTAAAAATGCTTCGGTAACTATTTTCAATATTATACAAGATTACCTGTCGATTAATAAGGATGACATTGCTATATCATGAAAATGCTCATGTTCTCCTACATGATGAGAATATATATCACATTGAATGTGTAAGACTTAACTTTTCTCTTTTTCTTCTGGATTGTTTATTTGATCTATAATATAGGACTCTCACATGCACTGCATTTTTTGTTTGCTGTCATTGAGGCCAACTTGTCTGTTCATCCAACTTATGGACTATGGACTATGGACAAGATCAACCTGAAGTGACAACTGTTTCCATGGACCCTAATGTTGCAGCGTATTTGCACAATGACTTTCTCTTAGTTTTTCCCGAGGAAAAAGAGAAGCTGGGGATTTTCTTGAGGAGGTATATTGACTAAGGACTATAGACATGGTTGCCTGCATTTACTTTGTGAAGTTATCATGATATATAAGAATTATGTTTGTAGGAATATACACAAATGTGCGGGTGGTGATGATCTATCTTCAACATGTCGGACGACTAGAGGACTTAAAATAGTTAATGGTTTGGAGTGCAAGATCGCTTGCAATTCTTCCAAGGTATACCCGATTAGATATTCCGTCGCACATTAGTGAAATTTTCTTCTTTTTTCCCATAAGATTGTTTTTTCTTGTAAATAGATGTATATGATACGTTAAATGACTGGAATTGGTACCTAATAGGTCACTTTTGTTTTGGATACAGATTGTTCCGAGTTAAACGACAAGCAGCCTAAGATCAGAACATCCAATGCCATAACCGAGCAATGGTTTCAAATGGTAATTCAATTAGACTACAAAGTCTACAACTATATCAGAGATTACTCTTGGCATATACTTCGCTAGCATAAGTAGATATGGTATGTATGAATCCATTTGCTGCTATGTTTTTTTTGCTCAAGAATTAAAGGACAATAATGAACCATAAAGCAATTTCTCGCATGAGTTAAATCCAATTTCTTATATTCCAATTTAAATATTATTTTTTCAAAAATAAAAGAAACTTCCTCGGACGTTTTCTTTGGATTTCTGTGTTTGTCTGTCGAGTCATGCATTATTTACATACAAACACAGACATTAGGGACCGGGTAAGAGAGTTGACAGTGGCAAGCAAATGGAAACCTTTTTCCTTTCTAAATGAAATCATGATTCAGTGTAGTGTCATTCATATATGACCTGCCAAATAAAGAAATATTTTGAGGGCTCTCTAAGAATTATAAGTTTAATCTGTGTAAGTTGGTGGTGGTATTTGAGCCACGGTGGTCTAGTGTACATAGGAGATAATATATAGTTCTTTCTGGTGTATTACATGAAACATATGTTCATTATCCATTCATCCGTATTATCTTTCCCTCTTAATTAAGTTATTCTTTCGCTAAAATTTAGCTACCTGATGTGTAGCATGAGCAGAAGGATTCTGAACAAAATGTTGGTGCTCCTAAAGTAGAAGTAGTAAGTGTGATTCAGATTCTTACCCATAGTGAAAGGTATTTCTTTTAAGAGATATGTTGCTTGCAATTGTGTTTTTCTTATTGGTGGATATTGAAAAAAATCTTTTATGATAGGGTTGGCCAAACTTCTATGGCAGCTACTCCCGGGGCTTCTCTTCCTGCTAGCAGTAATAATCCTAACCAAGCAGCCCCTGATCTTAGTAATTCAACTTCTCAAAATCATCAAGCGGAGGTCTGTGATGAATTTGATCCCCACGGTTCTGTTTCAGGTATGAAATTGTATATGAATTCAATGGTTTTTATGTTCAAATTCTTTTATATGGATGTTCATAGAATTTGACTTGTTCTTTTGCTTCACATTCCATTTTATTATTAATTTTATTTATTTTTCATGTTGTAGGTTTTAGTATATTTTTTTTTATTTCTGAATTACATTTTTCTTGTCAAACGGTTAGTCATTTTAATAGGGATATTATTTTTGGGGAGCTAAACCTTTTGTAAATAGTTATAACTAGTGACAGTTTAAAATTAAAACATAAAAGACTATTTTGGTGACTTATTTCAGTATTGATTTTTAAATTGAAACATAAAATCCTTGAACCTGCTTTGGATTGTCTATATGTATGTAGAGTCTTTCTTTCCCGATCTACTATTTTTGAATGTTTATTTTCCTTTTTGTAGTCTGCTTCATGTTTTTATTAACACTAAAGGAACACATAATGTATCTGAAATTCTGCTATTTTTGACTGCTTATTGTCTTCATGTTTATTTTTTTCCAATTTGATTTTGAAAATTCAAAAGTTCCATTTTTTACATAATGATTGCTGACATGATCTGTTTTTAATTCCATGAGTACAAAAACTAATTGCCTATGGATAATCTGGAAGAAGATTACTGAATATGGTTTGTGGTACAATAATTGTTAGTTTCTTGTTTCTTAAATTTTCTGATAAAAATATTTTTTTTTCTTAGATGGGATTTAGATTCTTGCCCATAGTGAAAGGTATATTTTCAGATACATGCTACTTGCAATTGTGTTTTGCTTGATGGTGCATACTGAAAATACTTTTATGATAGGGTTAGCCTAACTTCTGTAGCAGTTGCTCCCGAGGCTTCTTCTCCTGCTAGCAATAATAATCCTAACCAAACAGCCCCTGATCTAAGTAATTCAGCTTCTTGAAATCATCAAGTGGAGGTCTTATTTTAGATTTGACATGCTTTGTTGCTTCCAATTCCCTTTTATGATTATTTTTATTTATTTTTTTGTGGCACCGCACAACTGCAGAACAAGAGCAGACGAGCCAACAAGAAGTCAGAGAAGAAACTACGCCAAAGCCGCAACTATGAAGATCAAGCAGGCAGCGGAATTGGAACACAGTGCGCAGACCACTACCTGAATCCAAGCTTTTTCCCTGCCCCTTAACTTGGAGCTGCTCGACCTATAGTCCGAGGGTTTAGTAATTTAAATGGGGATACTATTTTTGGGGAGCTAAACCATTTGTGGTTATTTACATACTAGTCATAGTTTTAAATTAAAACATAAATGACTATTTTGGTGACTTATTTTAGTTTTGATTTTTATATGCTCAATTCAAATGAATTTACTGGTTGAAGTTCCATGTGATTGTATGGAACAAACTCCTTGTTTTGAGGGACTTAACTCATCAATTACAGCTGCTCCAACTACTGCTTCTGCTGCAGTAGTTGTCCCTACCACTGCGGTTCTCTTTGCTTCGACCAATGCTGAAACAGACTTATTGGATGTTCTGTCTGATTCATTTGCCATCATCCCTATTACAGCTGAAAACCATGCTACTGATTCTGATGCCCGTGTCAACTCCAGTGCTATGACCACCTTTGCTACCAATCAATCTCATCTAATTTTGGAAATCAGGTAACATGATTATTTTAATTTGGAAGACTTGTTTTCCCTATTTCCTCTTCTGTATCTCTCCCTTATTTTAATTTTGGAAATCAGTTTCAGGTATGAAATTGTATATGAATTCAATGGTTTTTATGTTCCAATTCTTTTATTTGTATGGTCATAGAATTTGACTTGCTCTTTTGATTCACATTTCATTTTATTATTAATTTTATTTATTTTTCTTGTGGTAGGTTTTAGTATATTTTTTATTTGTGAATTACATCTTTCTTGTCAAATGGTTAGTCATTTTAATAGGGATATTACTTTTGGGGAGCTAAACCTTTTGTCGTTGGTTATAACTAGTGACAGTTTTAAATTAAACATAAAAAGCTATTTTGGTGACTTATTTCAGTTTTGATTTTTAAATTGAAACATAAAATCCTTAAACCTGCTTTGGACTGTCTATATGTATGTAGAGTCTTTCTTTCCCGATATACTATTTTTGAATATTTGTTTTCTTTTTTGTAGTCTGCTCCATGTTTTTATTAACATTAATGGAACACATAATCTAAATGAACTTCTGCTATTTTTGACTGCTTATTGTCTTCATGTTTTTTTTTCAATTTGATTTTGAAAATTCAAAAGTTCCATTTTTTGCATAATGATTGCAGACATGATCTGTTTTTAATTCTGTGAGTGCAAAAACTAATTGCCTATGGATAATATGGAGGAAGATCATGGTTTAGATGGTGGATAAATTGTTCCTTTGATTACAGGTATATTGAATATGGTTTCTGGTACAATAATTGTTAGTTTCTTGTTTCTTAAATTTTCTGATAAAAATATATATTTTTTTCTTAAATAGGATTCAGATTCTTGCCCATAGTTAAAGGTATCTTTTCAGAGATTGCAATTGTGTTTTGCTTGACGGTGCATACTAAATATACTTTTATGGTGCAATTGTGTTTTATGGTAGCAGTTGCTCCCGAGGCTTCTTCTACTTCTAGCAATAATAATCCTGACCAAACAACCCTTGATCTTAGTAATTCAGCTTCTTGAAATCATCAAGTGGAGATCTTTGATGAATTTGATCCCTGCGGTTCAGTTTCAGGTATAAATTCTATATGTATTCAATTAATGGTTTCTATGTTCCAATTCTTTTACATTGATGGTCATAGATGTCTTCAGTTATGGAACTTAGTTCATGTGTTATTCTTTTGTCTTGACATATCACCCTGGAAAGTGTAATTTTTTGAGTTCAAATATTTTAGATTTGACATGCTTTGTTGCTTCACATTACCTTTTATGATTTTTTTAATTTATTTTTTATGTGGTACTGCACAACTGCAGAACAAGAGCAGCTGAGCCAACAAGAAATTAGAGAAGAAACTATGCCACAGCCGCAACTACGAAGGTCAAGCAGGAAGCGGAATTGGAACACAGTGCGCAGACCACTGCCTGAATCCAAGCTTTTGCCCTGCCCCTTACCTTGGAGCTGCTCGACCTATAGTCCGAGGGTTAGTAATTTAAATGGGGATACTATTTTTGGGGAGCTAAACCATTTGCAGTTATTTACATACTAGTCATAGTTTTAAATTAAAACATAAAAGACTATTTTGGTGACTTATTTTAGTTTTGATTTTTATATGCTCAATTCAAATGAATTTATTGGTTGGAGTTCCATGTGGTTGTATGGAACAAACTTCTTGTTTTGAGGGACTTAACTCATCAATTACAGCTGCTCCAACTACTGCTCCTACTGCAGCAGTTGTCCCTACCACTGCGGTTCTCTCTGTTTTGACCAATGCTGAAACAGACTTATTGGATGTTCTGTCTGATTCATTTGCCATCATTCCTGTTACAGCTGAAATCCATGCTACTGATTTTGATGCTCGTGTCAACTCCAATGCTATGACCACCTTTGTTACTAATCAATCGCATCTAATTTTGGAAATCAGGTAACATGATTATTTTAATTTGGAAGACTTGTTAAATATTTTTCCCTATTTCCTTTTCTGTATCTCTTCCTTATTTATTCTGAACTTTTATTTTTCTGAACTTTTTCTTCTTTGATTCCAGTGGACTTTAATATATATTTTAGTTAATATGTTTTCATCTATATTTATGTTATGTTGTTCTTGATTCATGAACAAACTTAAAAGAAAGTTGTTATTATTTACTAAATAGTTTACAACCTTTATAGAGTAGTCTAAGTGTAAATTAGGAAACAATCCCTATAAATCAGTAACTCCCTAGGAATTAGAAACTAACATTAGATCATACTGTAAAAGGAAACTCCTAGGAATAAGGTAAATAATTTATTTTTAATTTTAGGAATTCCAACAATTCAGAGTTTTGATGATCCATTTGGTGGTGATCCTTTTAAAGTTCTCCCTTCAACTGATGTTGTCCCAGTTGTGCAACAAATTTCTACTTACATGCCTACTTTCCGGCTTGCAACAAACCAGAATGCAGTAGATCCTCAGCGCACTTATACGGATTCTGAGACAGTTGGAAACTTCATCATTTGGGACTCATTATTTGCTAATGCTTACTTTGCACTGAGTTTGTCCAGTGTTCAACCTCCATCAACAAACTCCCTCTGCCTCAAGAATTGGCAACTCCATATCAGGAAAATGATATTTTCGCTGATGTTTTTCCAACTTCTTGACCTGCACAGCCGATGGTTAACGTGTATGGCCAATCTGTGCAGCCAAGTGTTAATCCATATAGTCAACTGCCACAAGCTGGTGCTAATCACTGCGACCAACCTCATAGCCAAATGCTAATCCATATGTTTAACCTGGACACTCAAATGCTAATCCATATGCCCAACCTATGCAATCAATCTCGAATAATTCGTATGACAATTTTAACCCACAGACAATGTCTATGCTCCCTCAGATCCCAAAATCTACTGCCCAAATCAGCAATTGGAGCTTCAACTCTCAGATAGGTTCTAATGCTCTCGTCAGTTCACACATGGCTGTTCAACCTCAAAATAATGATGTCCTGGGTGGTTTAATTTCACATTCATTTGAGTTCAAGGTTTAAGGTTTTATACCATTTGCTAGCGTTTGCTTTTTAAGGAAGCTTTAATTTGGTTTTCGTGGTTCTTAAGATGAATCCCATCTGTTTTGTAGGGTTTAGAGGTTGAACTCTTGACAAAGTTGAGCAACTTGAGGATGGTAAAAAGATCATGAGGTATGTACCGAAGTATTTTTACCCAGATTGTTAGTCTCCGCTTCTTACTTGGGCTAATATTTTTGTTTCAATTGTTCGTTGATACTTGCTATAATGACTCTGAAACTTATCTTTGGGGGATTGTCCCTGTGAGCATGACTACAGTTAAACATGATGCATTACTAGAGTTTTATACACTTTGCAATACTTTCACCAATTATTCTATGCATTTTGAAATCTTTTCTAGGATTCCCTTCATGAAAAGTTTTTTCTTCCAGATGAGCAAGAAGGAAGACACAGATTTTTTCTCTTGAGATTTTACAGGTTTAACTTTTGTCACAATCAAGCTGTGAATTGCAGGTTGATTTTGCACAAATGAAGGAGATTGAAGAAGCAAAATAGAAGTTGAGAGAAGAGGTAAATTGCATCACGTATGATTCGTTACAACTGTTTTGATATATAAGTTAATTTCAGGACATCAACAAATTATTTTAATACAGTTGTCCATTCCTTGTCTTCTATTGCAACGACTTCATTCTAGTTGGTTTTTCTTGTACTGGCTTAAAGAGTATTCTGCTGCATTGGTCTGATTGGTATCATTGATTCATTAATTGGGTTCCTCTGTAGTGGGCTGCTTCCACAAGGTCTGTTCTTCTAATTGGTCCCCCGAGTCCATTAAGATCTGCCTCTTCTCTACTTATCAAATCAGTCGTTTTTTTTATTTTTCCTTTTAGTTTTATGTGTTGTTTAGGCTCCACCAAGTAAGTTGCATTTTGTTGAAGTGCTAATATTTAGCTGATCCTAATGGATATTTCTTGTATAGTTTGTTCATCAACTCAGTAACCTCTTTACAATTTCTACAGACATTGTATGAGAGAATACAATCAGCAACGGTTAATTCATCATCTGCTGATAAGAAATGGAGGGCTTCTAGTTATCCAAGTCCTACTTACTCTATGCCAGGTAATATAGTTCAACTTCTGTTGGTGTAGGCAAATGTTAAAAAATTTGTCACCACTTTCCATTTAAACTCTTTTATGATACAGGTTCATGAGTGCATTTTACAATTTACTCGATAGATCTTCTGTTAATACAAAATTTGAAGATGATTATCATATTTAATATTTAAAATTGTCAAACAGACAATGCTGATTTCCCCCCCTAGCCTTCCCCTATGTGTTCCTGACCTTATCTCTGCCATCTTTGTCATGGTGGACAGGATTATTAGCTATACTGATTGTTGCTTGGTTGTCACAATCTTCATTGGTCGTTCTTACCGTACTTGGAGTTCCTCCATTAATCATTGTATCCAAATTCCCTCACATATACAATGCTAGAAACTCAGCCTCGGCTCTACTACGAGCTACAACTGATTGCTTTTTACTTTTCCATGTCACAAGGTTACCCCATACACAGCTATAGTAGCCACTCATAAAGTGTCTATCACTTACTGAATCAGCCCAATCTGCGTCAGATAAATCTCCATACATCTACTTTTTGTTTTCTAGAAGTGTAGACCCTTGCTTGGAGTCCCTTTCAAATACCGTAGTACTTTGTAAGCAACCTCTAAATGTTTCTCCCTTGGTGCATGAATAAAACGAAAGCAATATTCGTAGCTGTAGACACACTGTTTTTTTATAAACATATATTTATATATATATATATATATATATATATATATATATATATATATATATATATACGTCACATATATATTACATATATATATATAAATTATTTTCGTTTTATTAAACCAACATTTACATTTGTTTTCATGTCAGGTCCAAATTACAAGTGGCCCAACAATGGCCCAACAGGCGAACCCGTCCAAGTTAGTTAGGGTTTTCCTAACCCTAAATCTCTACTGCCCAGCCGTCAGGTGCCTCGACCATTGGATCCAGATATGATCCAACGGTCAACAATATGAGCCAGATAGGGTTTTGCTTTTTTCCCTTAGAGCGCCGCATATCCTGGATAAGTCAGAACCTCGCGCGGCTCTCGTAGAATCCTCGTCCCGGTGGCAACGTGCTCCGGGTTTCTCGGCTTGTGGGTTTCATGGAGATAACAAACCAACAAATAGAGTTAGAATACGACTCTGTAACCACATCTAAAAATAGGATTTTTACTCCTATAAATATCTGTAAGCAAATCCATTTGGAACTACGAAAAAATACGAAATAAAGGCAGCAAATTTCAAGCAAACTTAAGAACAATCCAAGTTTTTTTTCTTGCGGAAATTCGAAGGTAACGAAGGTGAAAACCTTACCTTTCTTTTGTTGTTAGGCTTGCATGTTGGTGTGGCATTCGTTTTCTCACTGTGTTGGTTTGAATATACAAAAAATTTGCGGTCGATGACCAAGGGCGTGTTCGAGGTTTACTGTTATAGATCTAGCCCCGAGGTCGATTTGTTTTAAAAAGCCGTTTTGATATTCGGAAGGAAAGGGGGAAAGAGCGTTTTAAAAACGAATTTTTTTTTGAATTTGCCGTCGATGAACGGTGGCCGTCGCCGTTGAACGGCGACGGCGAGGCGGCGACGGACGGTTTCTGGGTTCATCAAGAACCCAGACGGTGGCTGTTCATCAAGCCACATGAACAAAGCCAGAGAGAAATGAGAGGAAGGGAGGGTTACACCCGCGTGAAGAGGAGAACAAATGAAGGTTCTCTAAAAATTTAAGTTTTATACTCGGCCCATGGACCAAGCTGGTGACCCGCGTGTCGACCCTGACCCGGGAAGGATCCGCGCGTTTCTGCGCTTTAATGGGTTAATCTCATATTTGGTCCACCTCATTCATGATGGCCTTAATTTACCCCTGTAATTTCAGATTCTCTTCGAAATAATTGAAATTATGTCACCCAGTTTTGTTTATTTTACAAATTGGTCCTCATTTTGGTTATTTTGGTTATCGTTATGATTACTTTTTTTTTTAGTTTTTACATACTCGTATTTTCATTATTTCATTATTTTATTTATTTACTTATATATATTATATATATATACATATTTTACTTTATTTCTTAATACTTTTTTTATATGTTATATTATATATATACATCATTTTCTTAATATTTTGTTTCTATTTTTTTTCCTTTTTAAAAATCTACAAGCTAATGTATATATATATATATATTATATCTTCCCTCGTTTTATTCATTTTATCTTATTTTATTTCTGTTTTTTATTTATTGATTTATTTATCTTTCTCATATTATTATTTATCTTTGTTTCTTTATTCATCTTATTCTATTTTATCTTCTTTTTTTCATTTCGGTTTTACTATCTCCATATTAATTATGTTGTAATTTATCACTCTTTGTTTTTCTAACGTTTTCCTTGATTCTTTAAGGGTATGTTTTCAAAACGGTTGGAGGTAAGTAATTTGGATCGTCATTTTACCTTTTAATTTAGATTTACAACTCTCTTAATTAAATACAATTGGAAATTACATAGTACCGAAAGGGCGGTTCAATGGTACTAATCCTTCCTTGACCGTAACCGACTCCCGAACCTGACACGTTTCTGGTACAACGCAGATCAGGTAAGATGGTGCCCGACCCACCTAAATTTGTTTTAAAGTGGTCGGTGGCGACTCCAAACTACATGTTTCAAGTCGAAGCCCAATTCCGGGGCCCAACCGAAAGACGGTTCCAACAGCTTGGCGACTCCGCTGGGGATCAAAATAAGTGAGTCAGGCTAAGGTAATTTCCAGTTGTCTTTTTAATGAAAATGGTAAGTTTAAATTTTAAGGTAACATTTCGATCCTTATTACTTACTTTTGGTTATATTTTCTCGAGTAAATAGTTGGACTGACCGTTTTCTAATGATTTCAGCTTTCCAAACTTTTTCATCCAAAGGCTCTATACCCGAGCTCTGAACCCTTTAAGTGGGGGTGAAAGCGACGCATTCGTGTGAATTTATTCACCGCATATGCCTAGCAAGTAGCCTTCGGGATTCATATACCTTATGTCTTCGTGTGAATTTATTCTCCGCATAGACATAAGGGAATTTGTCCCCTCGAGTTTAACTTAGTCCACACAAGCCTGTGATGGGTTTAGGACTAAGGGTCTGGCAAGCCCTAGGGGGCACCAGCAAGGAGAACTCGGGTACCGTTTTAGAACCTAAACCGGGAGACTTTGAAGAAATAGAGCCTACCCCAAAACCACATTCCAAAACCTAAGACTTTGCTTTCTTAACCGTGTTTTTTGTCCCTATGTTTTTTTTTCCTTGCCATTTTTTCATTTATTTTTATTTTTACTAACTTTTTGCCTTTGTGTTTGTTTTTTAGCATTCACATCATAACAAGAGGCCATTGATCCCTAAAAAGGCATTCATTTCACACAAAATAATCTGAATTAATGGATAAAGGTGTTGTAATACAAGAGATTAAAAACCCCGAGGTACGACTATGGTCCGAGAAGACTCAGAAGGAAAAGGGAGACATTCTTCAAGGAAGCTATGTGTCAGAGCTGGTTAGTTACACCTCGATCAGCCTAAAGCAGAATGACGTGCAAGAGCTTCGGGACATCTGGGACAGTTGGAAGAATGAGGTGAAATAGAAGTTCGGCCAACGGTATAGTGATGTTGCACTTTTGCTTCATGTTAAGACTGATGAGCCCCTAATCAGAACCTTAGTTCAATTCTGGAACCCGGGATACAGTTGCTTCACCTTTAACCGGGAATACATGGTGCCCACCATAGAAGAGTACACTACACTGCTGCATTGTGAAAACATCAAACTCGAGCGGGCCTACCTTAAGCACATTAAAAGCCAACCTTTCAAAAATGCACTAGCCAAGGTTGCCAGAGTTGACGAAAAATGGGTAACTGACCGGGCTCGATGTAAGGGTAGTGGAGAAGGAATTGCTTGGCTTCATATCAAGCAACTGATGAAGCACCATCCCGATGAGTGGAAGGCCATAGACCTGTTTGCATTAGGTTTGTATGGTCTAATTATATTCCCAAAGACCTTGGGATACATCGATGCCGCTGTAGTGGAGCTATTTGAACAACTCTCGAAAAGAGTCAATCCAGCACCAACCATCTTAGCCGAGACTTTTTGATCTCTCAATCATTGTAGAAGAACTGGCGGAGGAAGGTTCACTGGATGTGTTCAGCTCCTTCAAGTCTAGATTCACAGCCACTTCTGGAAGACTAACGGGGTTGCATACCGCCGTTTCAGCACCACATATTCACCTCTAGGTGAATTCATCACCATGAAATGGCATGAAGGCGCCTTGAAGGAAAAATGGATGAAGGTCTTTACACATCTTCAGGACCGGGATATTGTCTGGAGAGCCCCCTGGTTATTCCTCAGTGACGTTCTTTTCCGATGTGAGGACTCCGACACTATGACCCTACTTGGACTTTGGGGTGCAGTTGGGTATGCTCCATTATTAGCACTTAGACAGTATGGGGCACGTCAGTTTGTCCCAGTAACATACGGACTAGTTAGGTTAGAGTTTGAGTATCATGGTGACAGCTATAAGAAGATGATCAAGGAAGTATCCGATTCATGGAGGAAAGTATTTCGGATGGATGTTGTAGCTGCCAGAAGCATGCTTACTCCTGATTATGTGGAGTGGCGAAGGTTGAGGAAAAATGACAATATTCCGGTACCAGACTGTGAGGACACCCGTACCATGGAAGAACATCTCAAGCATGTCCCTTCTGAGCTTGAGATAGCCAAGACCGAGTTTGAAGCTGTGAATAACGAGCTGAAGCAGAGGATAAAGGAACTTGAAGCTGAGCGCTATCAGTGGAAGCTAGATGCCGACTCTCAGAAAGATCGAGCAGATAAACTGGAAAGAGAACAGAAAAGAGTTCGCTTTGAGCTCGAAGACCTGAGAAAGGGGTATCAAGATAAAGTCAAAGATAACTCCAAGTTGAAAGTGGCTTTCGAATACTGGAAAGACGAAGCGCATAGCCTGAAAAGGAAGTTTGAGGGGCCTGATGAGAAAGTTTGGAAGGAACAGATGAAGACTGCCCAAAGACGCTTGGCAGATAGTCAATATCAGAACCAGCGCTTGAGGGTTCGGGTAGCTGACTTAGAAAAACAGCATGAGAAAAATGATAAGACAATAGCTGAGTTGGAAGCTATTGTAGATGGGTTCAACAGGCAAGCAAACGAGCTTCAGATAGTGCCCTTCGACGGAGGATTACAATGGCGTTTTCGTTGGGAGCAAGCACAACGAAGGGTGAGGGCCCGAGATGCAACCATCTGAGATTTCCTGGATCAAGTGCAAAAAGCAGCCCGTCATCTTCACGGCCTAGCAAGGGAAGCTGGAGTGGTTCGACAAGGCATTCAACCGGTGATAGATGAAGGCAGAAGACTTGTCAACCTACTGGAAGCTGTTCGAGGTCTAGAGGATTTAGTTCGAATGTACCTTTAATTTATTTTTATGTCTCTAAAAAGATAAAACATTTTTGTCTGAATAAGGATTATTTATAATAATGAACACTTTTTCTGGATCAATGCCTCCAAATTGCATACATCATACATTGCATATTTTGCATTTTTATATTTCAAGTTTTTATTTTTTTTATTTTCCATATTTTTACATTCGTATTAACTAACAGAACATGTCTCAAACACCAAGCTTACCACCGCAAGCATTAGATACGCATCACCCTCACAACACTCGTGCAAAGAAAAAACAAATGGATGTCAGAATGGAAAAACTCGAGGAGAACATGGCAAGACTTCAAAAGGAATTGGAGGACAAGATGGCTCAGAACAGTCAACGTACCATGGAGTCCATAAAGAAAAGCACGGAGTCCCTAGTCGACAAGATCGTGGCTAAGTTATCTGGTTTACAACAACAGACAAGTGCATCCGGAGAAGCTGCATCTGAGGGGATAACCATACCACCGACCTCACAAGTGGTTGCCTCATCTGGGACCTTACCCGGACTGCAAGGTGACTCATCTGCCGCTAGAGGGAAAGCTGTATCAGCGGTAAATTTACAGACTTCTGCGGCAAAGCCTGACAGTCATCTGGACGACTTCCCTATCCCGGATTTTGACGAGGAGGATAAGGCGAAGAAGATGGAAGAA